CCAATTTATTCTCTGTTGGCCATTTAATTTCAGTAGCTAAAAATTCTTTATTATCATAATTAGAACAATCATCAATAACAAGCACACTCTGACGATGTGACTTGTAAGCATCACGAGACTCTTTAAGGCGTGACTCAATCAAAACGGCCTTTTGCATAAGTTGATTAACATTGTGGAACTCATAATGCTCAAGTTTCTCTTTAATGCTAGGACATAAACCAACAAAGCATAAATCGGTTAAGTCTCTTTCTGAAATCATTACATGAAAGCATTGGTTCTTGATTTCTCTAAATTGTTTGAAAAAAATCAAGGGCTAACTCATCATGTCCTTGACGAACCGATGCAAGGTGAGACAATCTAGTTTCACGACCACCATTATAAAAGTGATTATGAAAATTTTCTTCTAATTCAGCCCATTAACCAATAGAACAAGATGGTAATGAAGTAAACCATGTAAAAGTTGTGTCAGTAAGAGACAATGAAAAATTATGAACTTTCATAAAATTATAAGCACTAGCTTCACCCAATTGTGCAAGAAAAAATGCTAATGTGCTCAATTGTTGATTTACTATCATCACCACTAAATTTCTAAAAATCTGGTACCCTCCACCCATTAGGTGCTTTCATGAAATCACAAGTAGAAGGGTACGGCTTTTGATATGTATCCTACTAGGTTTAATTTGTACACCTAAGCTACTTTCAAGAGATTTAGACAATTCTTCTTTAAATCGATTTAAAGCCTCATCAAAATCGGTAGTGGCAGCATTAGGAGTAACATTAAATGTAGGAATTTGACTCGGTGACTTCGGTGGGTTTGGTAAAACCGTGTTATGCCCCACCAAAGTTCTATTTACTGATGCTTCAGAATCGGTTCGAAGAGCACGACCCGAACTTTGTGCACTAGCTGCTGTACGTGTGGACGTGCTAGCACCAAGTTGACCAGCCTTATCGGTTTCAGATGCCAAAGGGGCCGATTGAAACTGGCTAGTAGATTTAAAGGCATACCGAATTGAGGCTACTGCATGGCACCCGATTGATCACAATCGGTTGTCTTGCCCTCTAACTTATCCATACGTGCTTGAAGTAGATTAGAAGATGCTGAAGATTATTATGATGCAATTTCCTCTCATCTATCAACATTTGAGCAAAATTGGCATGGGTAGGATAAGAATCGGTATTTACCTCTTCATCATACTTAGCTTTTCTGTCACCCTTCTCCCCGACGCCTAAAGATGCGGAAGCGGTAGCATCGCCGTAGGCGGGATCACGAAATTGAGTGACCTTGTCGTGCCGATTCTTGGTGCAGCTCTCTAAGAAAGCCTTGACATCGGCATCGAGCTTGGCCTGAATCTTTTGGAGTAACTCATCTGGAAGCTCATCCATCGATTGAGGAAACACCATGTTCGTCTCATTGAAGGGGTTCGTCTTGTCCCCCTTGTCAGTGGTAGCACCATTGTTGCCTCTCATGTTGCTAGTAGATTGATTCTTGATTCGCTTCGCCTTTCCCAGTGGAGTCACCAAAAAGTATGTTGACATTGAATTCGATCCAAGCCAACACACCAGCAAGGGCCTCGGATGCCCAAAGAGGTTGCAAACAACCTGCAACGCAGCAAGAACGCAGCATAATCAGTCAAACCGATCTAGAGACCGATGAGACCGATGTAGAGCTCGTTCTTGGCCGGAAAAGCTCCCGAACTTCTCCCGCGAAGACCCATCGGGGAGGAGCACGTGGAGGATCTCCTAGGACCAACAAGGCCGCCTAGGATGCTTCTGAATCTCACCGGGAAACTCAACGAACAACAGGAGGGGTTGAGAGAGGAGTAAAGGGTTGATACGAGTTGATAAATTGGTTTTTTGACGATTGGATAGAAGTGAACTCAATCGGCTGTGATCCTCTCCATATATAGAAGGGGTGGTTTTATCCCAGTAGAAAATATCTCCAAGACGCGTTCTCCAAGTTTCCCACGTTAAAAATATACCAAAAATTGATTTTAGGAAGTCTCCAACTTGGTTTCCAAGATGAGTCGGCTTAGCCGACAAGGGGAGTCGGCTAAGCCGACTTTTGCGGGTTGGATCAGCTCCCGTGGGCTGGCTTCAGAGCCGGTCGGCTTAGCTGACTTGGGCACTCGGCTAAGTCGACTGGAAGGGGGGAGCTAGCCTAGTTGACTGGCTTGGCTCGCCGGCGGCTTGCCGTCTTTTCCGCACATTTCGTTTATTATACCTCTAACATGTCCATAATATTTATAACTTGTTCATGGTGCCCAAAACCACCTTGGGACATTTTTTAGTGTCAAGGCAAAGACTCAAGTCGAATGCTCCACCCAGATGTCAATTGAAAAGACTGAAGGTAGATGATTAGCCTATGTAGTCTGGACGATTAATTCTTAAAGCAAAGTGTGTGTTTTATATAATCTCAGGAAAAATGTGTAATTATGTAGAAAACCTATTTCAGCCCCACAATATTCTAAGTAATTAATATGGGTCTTGAGGTAGTGCAGACATGATGCAAGTGAAGATGGGCAGAGGTTCTATTGTACCTGATGTCTCAATATATACAACGTTATTTAGGGGTGTTTAGAACTACTCCACTCCATATTTTTCAGCTCCACTCCACGTTTTTTTAGTCAAACAAGTTCACATCCACGTAATTCTGCTCCAGAGAAAAAAAGGTGGAGTTGTGAGAGCACCTAAAGGAGTGCTACATAAACTCCATGTTTTTTTGTGGTGCTATTTCACGATTGAGTTCGTGGAGCAGTCTCAAACACCCTTAATCCTTTATATATACATGGGGTATATATATTCGCATTTTTTGTTCACATTTCACTTGCTACACATTATTGCTCCAGAGGTAGCTACGTTTTCCTTGGCCAAGCTTAGAGCACCCTAGCTTTGGAGAATCCCGGTCGCCGGAGCCAGCAAGACTCCATCACTAACAACCTCAATCTTTCATATCAAGACTGCAGCCAAAGTAGGTATTTAGTTATCAGCCTATAAATAAGGGAGGCCGGCGTGATGATAGCCTCACAGTGCTCGATCGCATCGTCGTGTCTTGGTTGACATTTGACGACACAGTACGTAGACGCATAATATAAAACAGTCTCCTTGAGACGACGATGGTTTCCTCGTCATCTCGTTCCGCCACCGCCGGCGTGCTCGTTGTGGCGGCTCTCCTGATGTGCTTCCTCCATGGCGCGACGGCGCAGCTGTGCGAGGACTACTATGACAGCACCTGTCCGGACGCCTACGACATCGTGAAGCAGGAGCTCATCGACGCGCACCAGTCGGACACGCGCATCTTTGCCAGCCTCATCCGCCTCCACTTCCACGACTGCTTCGTCCAGGTACGTACCAGCTAGCAGTCGGACGCCATGCATGTTGCACGAAGCATGCACACTTCATTGACTGGTGACAAGCGTTCCTGCTACAAAGGGTTGCGATGGGTCGCTGCTGCTGGACAGCGTGCCGGGGATGCCGTCTGAGAAGACGTCGCCGCCAAACAACAACTCGGCGCGTGGGTTCCCGGTGGTGGACGCCGCCAAGGCAGCGCTAGAGGAGGCCTGCCCTGGGGTTGTCTCCTGCGCCGACATCCTCGCCATCGCCGCTGAGATTTCTGTCGAGCTGGTACGTACGTTCCTGCATGCAGCCTATACAAAATTCATGCCATATACATCATGCGATAGTATAGACGACGTAGCGCGCGGCGGTAGCTGCGCCGTAGCTATTTCAAATTAAGGGGCATGCCGGATGCATAGCGATTCAACCGTCAACAGCATGGTATTACTTCATTGGCACCTTTTAGATTAATTTGGAGGATGAATGATTTGATGGGCGTGCATGTTGTCGGTGCATATGCTTGCATGTGAACTATAGTAACATGTCATGTCACGTTGTTTCATGATTATATATGCATGGTTCTGGTATGTACACCTAGTTTTGCATAATGAAAAGCATCAAAATTTTATGGGCACATCCCCTCCGAGAGTTTGTAAATACTTTGGTGGTTCGTAATAATATCCACGGATCCTATGTGATTAAAGGTTGTGAGTCTTTGATTATAAAAAAAAGTGTCAAAATTTTGTTCATACCATGGATGCTTCTTATCTAATACTATTTACTTAGGGCGCGTAAAACTCACTCAACACCTTATTTTTATTTCATCCTCTACCTTTAAAACCTCCTGCTTTGATTTTGGCAAACTTGACGCAGTCCCCTCCTTCTCTCGATCTAGCAAGATTGTGCTTCTCCAGTGACATTTAGGTTGCCTGGTCAGGGGAGGAGAGGCTCTCAAGCTAGGGCAACAAGGGCTTTAGAGGGCCATCCACTGGGACCCTCAACTTGATATATATATCGTCAGCCTGCTATATTACAGTTGCTCTACTCTGTGATATATTGTGTCATTTCGTCGGTTTTATATAAATTTGTGAGATGCACGATAGATTACAGAATATTAATTTCTAGTGAAATGACATCAACTTTTTTTAAAATCAATCTGAATTTGTTTGAATTTGGTCCGATGTTTCTGAAATTTCCGAAATTTTGTATTTATCGCTGGATGCTGAATTTTTTTTATACCGGAATTGTAAACCCTGCCATCAAGTCTAAGGGAAGGCTATGGTAAGTAGCTACGATCATCCAAGTAGTGGTAGTAGGCGTGGAACAGGGTTACAATGAGATCGAGGTGACGAACGGCGTCACTAATAGGAGGTCTCATGACATTTGGGTTAGAGTGGTAGAGGTCTATCTAGTCACCGAGAGCTGCCGCAGACAGATGGAGGTTGTTGGATAGGGTTGTGTGTGTTGGGGGGGGGGGGAAGTTATGGCTCTAAAATCAAATGTTCAATAATTAAAGCGCTGAAGCAATGTTGTCTACACAGTTGGGAAGTAGATACAAGGTCGCATTCATCCATTACTTGTTCCATGTTATTGCACATGCATCAACAACACCAGACAAGCTATGAAATACTATAAGGATCGATTGATTTCCTAGCAACGTTAACAACATGCAGTCGGGAGGCCCCAGCTGGGGTGTGCTTCTTGGAAGGCTGGACAGCAAGACCTCCGACTTCAACGGGTCCCTGAACCTCCCAGCGCCCACGGACAACCTCACCATACTTCAGCAGAAGTTCAGCAACCTCAGCCTCAACGACGTCGACCTGGTCGCCCTCTCAGGTAAGCTACAAATAATCCATAAACTTGATGCCCTCACTGGTATGGTATATTCTCTTGATTTTTGTTGTGACAACGATAGGGGGGCACACGTTTGGCCGGGTACAGTGCCAATTCGTAGTTAACCGGCTCTACAACTTCAGCAACACAGGCCTGCCGGACCCAACCATGGACTTTGCATACCGTGAGTTCCTGTCACAGAGGTGTCCAAGGAACGGCAACGGCTCGGCGCTGAACGATCTTGATCCAACCACTCCGGATACCTTCGACAACCACTACTACACCAACATCGAGGTGAACCGGGGTTTCCTGAACTCCGATCAGGAGCTCAAGTCGTCACCCCAGGCGCAGGGCACCACGGCACCCATCGTCGACCAGTTCGCGACCAGCCAGGATGCCTTCTTCAAGAATTTTGCGCAGTCCATGATCAACATGGGCAACATTAAGCCGCTCACGGATCCATCCCAGGGAGAGGTCCGTACCAACTGCAGAAAGGTCAATGGCAGTTAATTTGATCTCCGAGGCTTTTGTGAGGTACTGAGGTAAGGGCAGTCCCAATGCTAATAAGGGCTTCACGCCTAAGCTCCCCAAATGTGAAGTGCAGTTTGTATACATGCATATATACTCCTATGTATTTCTTATGTTGTTGTCATGTTATCGGTAGTAACTTGTCAATATCAAATGTATTTATTACTCGGAGTTGGTCTTAAAAGTGCAATTAAGTTAATACTGCAAATGAAACAAATATTTGCCTTGCCACATCCTATTCTTTGTCCAGATGTCGTTGCAATAGTTTGGTTCTGTATATACTTGTCATTAAGTGCAAACCGAACAAACTGTCGCAATGTACATGTCCCAATATTATTTGTGTAAATTTTAATGTTCGCAGGCCGGTACTGTTTAATTTCGTGCTTCAGTAATAGAGTTTGTCGGTGCATTGGATGGACCAGATGCCTTCATGACTTCGCTTCACTCGAGACAAGTTTCGTGGTGGTGCCATGCATTCTCTGACTCGATTGCCACTCCAGATTTTAAGACCCAAACCGGTCAAATCCACCATTGATGATTTCAAACCACCAAATTGTCCTGTCCATGCCCGATTTCGAGGACTAGACTAGCAAACCCTCGTGCATGCCTCGCTACGCATGACTCGTCGATGTCGACGTGTGTCCAATCTCCATGTCCTCCACCTGATGGTCCACCAAATGCTTGCAACACCTTGCCTTGACTTTGTCTAACCCCTACCTTGAGTTTGATCAACATTGTCTCATGTACTCTTGCTCTTCCATGTGCCTAATGTCAACGGCCCATCACTACTATAGAAGTGATCTTCACTACTGCCCACCACTGCCGGTTGCTAATTTGAAAATCCAAAAATGTTTGGGGTCCAAAAGAACCGGAAGTGAAGATAATGATATATTCACCTTGTAGGCCAAGGAGGAAAAATATTTTGATTAACAAGCCACATATCAATATCAATGACACTGAAAATTTACAATGATAATATTCCATAAAAATCAGTCTTGACACTGAAAATGGAGATCACTGCAGGGACAACTAGCAGCCGGCAGTGATGAGCCACCACTGCCGGTTTGAATTCGGCACCGACAGTGATGTTCTCACATCACTACTGGGTTGGTAAGTGACCCGGTTGTTCTCTTCACCCAGCAGTGAAGACCTTCCCCATATGTACACTGCACTCAAGCCAAAAATTCTATCTACGAATTCATTGGCTCGCGTGCCCTGGATCTGCACTGCCACAACCACTGCTGACACCCATGAGGAGCACCGCCGCCACCGACGCCGCTTTGGAGGACCACCACGGCCATCGATGCCGCCCATGCGGCCCGTGGCCCACACAGTTGTAGGGTCGAGATGGCCGACTAGAGAGGGGTGAATAGTTGTTTCTAAAAAATAATCGCAAGAGCTAGCCAATTTAAAAACAAAATTAAAATAGCGATCTAGCCTCGACTACACCCCTCTATCTAAATTTGCTAGCACCCATACAAAAGATTGAACCTGAGAGCAACTAAGGGTACCAATCTAAAAGGAGCTAAACCACACAATTCTAGTTTGTAAGATCAAACAATCTAAGCAACTAGAACAAGAGCAAGCGCAACGGAGCTCCTACACATGCTAGTGATCAAGCGGTAAACTTAACAACACAAGCATAATATATTGCAATGAAGTAAACTTGTGTTGAGATGAGCAACCACAATGTAGAGGATGACACACGATGTTTCTCCGTGGTTCAGTGAATTGCCGGTCACTTAGTCCACGTTGAGGCGAGTTCTAGGTTGCTGCTCCTCTTGTTAGTTCCAAGCCCACAAGCTTCGGACTACCTCACTAGGTAGGCGCCACGTGAGCACTAAACTTTGAGCTGGCCAAATCAACTAGACACACACACACACACAAGCCTTGATTTTACTAGAGATCCTCTTTGCCTTCCTCCGGCGGCGATGAGCTCAATAGCCCCTCGCAAAGCCAACTCCGGAGCACCACACTATCCTTCTTGCGTGCTTCACGAAGACACAATTACCAAGCCGTCTAGGAACCGGCAAGCTCCAAGAGTAACAAGCAACCACACTTGCAAATCACCACCTAGTGCCACTCGATTAGTCACTCAAATAATCGCACTAGGATCAATCTCCAACTCACTAAACTTATCTCACATGAAGCATATGAGTAGGAGAGGTGAGGAGATGCTCTCTTAATGTATATCAATTTCCCAAAGTGCCAAGAGAAGCTCCACAACCTGCCACCACTCTATTTATAGAGGGAGCAACCAACTGGCCATTTTAGGAGCTGACTAGCTCTCTGTGTAGCTGGCGGTCCCACCGCCAGGTGCCCACATGGTAGCGCACAAGCAGCCCAACGGCTATGGACTAACGATCGACTGACATGGCGGTTCCACCGCCACTCACAGCGGTCCCACCGCCAGGAGGTCTTTAGCCTCGGTCAAAAGCCCCAGGGCGTTCGGATGCTCACAAAACATGCCATCGGATGCTACAGTGCCAGTGGTCCAACCACCAGACCCACCGGTTGGACCGCCAGGGCCACTTCCAGCAGCCCAAACAAGTCCAAAACACTCTGATTAAATTCATTTTTTCAAACCTTTGAAAATATGCTAACTTCAAATGTTTGTCCCACGAGACAACCATCACTTGAAGCACAAGTTAGCATTTTCAAATCCTTTTGCAAAGGTTTTCAAACTCATTTAGGATCGCCACTCGTCTCTAATATCAAAGTGATTAGGACCTCACAAGTGGCACTAGATAACTGAGATGCAAATACATTTTCCCCTCTTAATAGTACGGCTATCTATCCTAAATCCGGCCATATAAAGCTTCTCTAGAACACCTCATGGCCGGCAAAATGAAACACCCTATGTTTCATACCTTTGCCTTGCGCTTATCCAATTTCATTCAAATTCATGCTCGCAAGGAAAATGTTGTCCGACATATTCACCAAGCCACTTGATATGAGCAATGAATCTTTGGCTTGATCTTCATCGATGATGTGGATAACACAAACCATCACATAGACTTCAAGTCCATCGACCTTAGTCTAACTTGCTCTTCACCGTTGCTTCGGTCCTTCAGCGCCAAGTCTCACTCAAGCTTCTCCACCATGTGCGGTCCGTCGTTCCAAAGCCTCTCGACTTGCCCTTCACCATCGCCTAGGTCCATCGGTGCCAAGCCCACTAGCTTGCCCTTCACCATTGCATTGCACACGGTCCATTGCAGCCAAGTCTTGCTTTGGTCTTCACATGCTTGCTACATTTGATTTGAGCATTCCAACAAGCTAACAATCAAATCCATATCAATATCCAACTTTTCTTGTGAACTAAACCAATTTTCCTTCACACACTCAAATAGAGAAGTTAGTCCATAAGTGTTGTCATTAATTACCAAAACCCAAACAAGGGCCTAGACCTTTCAATCTCCCCTTTTTTGGCAATTGATAACAACCTATACAAAGGAGTTTAAGAAATTGAAAATTCAAGCCATGTCCATACAAAGTATTTTGTGGGCTTGAACATGAGTTTTGCTTCATTTATCCATAGCATGAAGAACATGGGTTATGATAGATAAATGCTCCAAAACTCAACTATGTAGTAAAGCTCCCCCTACATATGTGCATAGGGATTTGGGTTCAATTCATTCACATATACATAAATTTGAAAATTTAGGCAGAGTTTCCCCTATATAGTGGTAACCGTCGTGCCCGCGCGCGGTAGCTTCAGGATCTTTGTAACGGTCAAGTGACACAAAACACCCCATGTGGCAAACCAACTCACATGACAACCAATATCATGCCTAACTATCCAGATTATAATACTTATAGGAAACTACATGATTCGTAGGATTTATAAAGTTTTAATTTTCTTCTCCCTCCTAGGCTCATCTCTTCGATAACTCAGTCGAATTCTTATCAGAGTTAACTCATAGCTCATCTTGGATTCGCCCAATCCAAGGTCTAATATGCAGCGGTGAATAGAGCCCTACCTCGCATCCACCAGGACAACAACACCTACAAAAAAACTTGACAGCCACGCCATGAGTACATTTCGTACTCGCAGGACTTAATTCCAACTTATAGATATTTGGTGGATGCAAAGGGTAGTTAATGGGTATTTGTACATTTGCGAAAGTACATGGCGTTTCTTAGATGACATGCTCATGATCCATTTTAAGGAATTATCATTAAAGAGATATGGTATTCAAAGGAGTGATTAACACATATACACCACAATGTCATCATGTTCCATCATTTCTCTACCATGGGTATAGAAAGTAAGAACAACCAAATGGGTCCGTCCCGAGGGACTTCAGGCTTTCAAACTCTGTAGAGGTGTACAACTATACCCACATGGAAGAATGGGATTAACCTCCATACCTTGTGCACAAGATAAGGGTTGCCTCATGTCTTCCAACCTTTCCCTATTCTGGCTCGAATGTCCGACGAAAGGTTCGACTGGTGCCCGGTCAATGTCTCAAACATTCCCAACCGACGTAATTAGTTACTTGGCTTGTCGACCCCATCCGTGACATGTGGTTTGTACGGGTGGTTACTTAGACTCACGTATCCCAATAAACGGTCCTAATTTGCTCCATGAGCTACGTCATTTGAGGTCCCACTCTCACAATGACCTACCCTCGCACGAGCGAAGTTACCAAAACGGTATTCAAGTTTACAACTTTTAATGATATTATTCTTTAGCCAGATTAGTAAGGTAAGTCAAGTTGTACCCTCATTAGATTTAGTGATTAATTACCCAAGTGTAGCATCCTACACATGCGAGAATGAGTTCCCTTCTCATACTCGACTTCTACCATTGCTAAGTAACTAAGCAATAGGCAATTAAGCGTTTCCATTCTCATTGTTTAGATGAGAGGCTTCTACTAGATTATTGAGTGACTCTAAGTGTAGAGAGCACGACTTTACTAATCAACCTACATGTAATGCATAACTCATAATGAAACTGCATGAGTATCCAAAATAGGGTTTATATTAGTGGAGTGCCTGACTGATCTTGCAGACGACTCTGAGGTTGTAGACAACAACTCACATGCATTCCCTATGCTACTTGGGTCCTGAAAGAGAACAAAGGTCAAGGTTGAAGGTAACCGAGGAAGGCTTGGGAACAAGACTCGACTTGGGACTCAGGGTAGAGGCTTCTACCTAGGGCTCTTTTGTTGCCTTTCTTGAAACTATGCTGAACCTAGTATTGTTGACCTCTTGGGTAAGTTCACTAGGTAACTTCATCCTGACTGTTAACTTGATGGACACTCTGGCCTTGGTGGTGCACAGTCTGGTAGGAACTAGGAGGTCTTAGGTTGCTAGGTTATTGTCCTCTATAATTCATCAGACGCTCTACTATGAGTGACGGACGCTCCAGTGTAGGCTTGGTGTTCTCTGGTTCACTGGCTATAAGTCCTTATAACTCAACGGACACTTTGCGGAACATCGTGGACACTCTAGTGGTCCATGTCAACAGGAGACAAGGTTCTGGTGGCTAATTTTCCTAGGGTTGTCGGACACTCTGTCAATACGACGGAC